ATTGCAGCGGTAGAATGGGGTGAAAATACTGGGTGCTGGGTATTAAGTCGATGGCGTGGGATTGCGTTTGAAAAATTGAAGGAATCGGAGTCGTCGATGGAGATGGGAGGCGATGGAGATGGAGATGGAGATGATTGCAGAAGGGACGAGGAGGAGCTAGGGATTAAGGAAACGACGTCGTTTTGGTTGGGACTCCAATTTTTTTTTGAGAGTCAGGACTGACGCGCACTTTACCGTTTTTTTTTTTTGGTGCAAAACTTAATTAAACGCGTTGAAATTTTCTTTTCATTTTTAATTTTCTTGGCTTTCGTTTACATATTTTCCTTTTAGCATCTGTTTAGCTCGAGAAAATTTGAGAGTAGAGAAAAAATTTTATTTAATCAAATTAAGATGTTAAAATTTTTTATTAACATCTTAATTTAATTATATGAAAATTTTTTTCGTCTTTTTGTGTTTACCAAACAAAACATGTATTTATTTAATTATTATGCAATTTGAATTGCATAATAAAGATATTGGATGAGAAGTGGATCCATTGAAATTGAGAGCTCTCCACATCCGATAATCAATGTTTTGCAATTCCAATACACTTTAAATTGTAAATCTAAAAAGAAAAAAGAAAAAGAAAAAGTTGAAATATCCTAATTTTTTACAATTATAAATAAATAATTAAAGTACATGTTAATAATATTTTTTATATTAATTATTATTGAAAAAATAAAATTAATTTTTATTTAATTAAATGATTAATTAAAATAACTTACATGAAATTAACGTGAAATTAATACTAATTTTTATCATTTCTTATATTAATTAATAATAAAAATATATTAATTATATCATTAGAGGTATAGGTTAAAAAATATTAAATAATTATTAAAAAAAAAAAAGACATCAAAGTCAATAAAAAAATTTTAGAAAAGGTTTAGCCGGTTCTAGTGTAAGTGGCTAGAGTATGATAGAGTCCTAGTCAAACAGAACGCGGCTGCGTCAAACTCAGAAACAATAATGCAAGTGAACCTAATTAATATCTCGTGAGGAAATTCAATTCAATTCACACGTGAGTTTCGTGTCGCATATTATGATGCAAGCTAATTAAATGTTTGTCCCTTTTTATCACAAAAGGGGAAGGATTAAAGTCCTTTTTGTTTAATTATTAAAAAAATTAATAATTAATAATAATAATTATTATTATTAATTTATACAGTTTTAAAAAATAGTTTATAGTTAATTTCCGCTTTATTTCGTCGTAGAAAATTTTGAAGAAGATATAGACGGCGGTCTACATCATATAAGTCAATCGTCAATGCATTTTATGATAGGTTTTCATTAGTTTTAGTGGCGGGTGCATTTTCTACTCCGTAGAGAATCTTTTTTCTGACTTGTCATTGCCCTAGGTGAAGCAGGAAGCTTCCTATGAAGGGCGAACACATCGTCGTGTGTTGCGCGGAGAGTCCACGTTATGGGGCCAATGGATTTTCTTTCTTTCTTTTTTCTTCTTTTTATTTTTATTTTTATTTTTTTATTAAACCTCTAATTTGATTCATTAACTATTATACATACTCTTAATGTAGTTTTTAAACTAAAAAAATTTATAATTTAGTTCAAGTTGATCCTTTCATTTCATTAAAAAAATAATTGATATGTTTGTTATTTAATGTTAAAAAGTTATTATTTAATAATCATATATCATGTTAATAATGAAATACAACATTTATTTTTATATAAAATAATCAATTTGTAGTCAAATTAGTAAAAAAATTAATTTAACAATCACATTTGTATGGAATAACCAACCTTTGTTTTTGTATGGAATAACCAAATTATTTTAAAAAATTAATTTAAAAATATAAAAAAATTAAATTAAGGATATCATACAGTACGTTAAAAAAAAATATCACAACAGTAAATAAAAAAGAATAAATAGATAAAGATCGGTCCAGTCAAATTGCTTGACGTTTTTCCATCAATCATGCATGTGATGTATATGCATCATTTGAATTCGAGTAAAAGGTTTTTCTATTTTTTAATAGCTGTTGGGCGGCGTCACATATCTGTCTTTTAGTTTTTATCTTCTAATTCAGTCAAAAAAGTCCACTTAATTTCGTTGAAAAGTTAAACTCTTGAATTATCAATTTTCAAAAAAAAAAAAAAAAAAAAAAGAAGAAGAAGAAAATGAAGCAAAACTCTTAAGAATATATTTGGGTAAGTTTTTTTGGAGTTTCAGCTTTTTCTTTTTTTGTTTTTTTTTTTTGAAAAAAAGCAAGTTTTTCATTAAACGTCAAATGATATGTACAATTTCCTCTCAGGTATACCTGTGAAATTACACTCT